TTATTATTTATATTAAAATATTCATTTAAATAAAATTTAATATATTTTTATTCTAATTTTTTAATTAATAATTTTAATTGATTATAGATCTTTGTAGGCTGTAGTCAATTAAATTATTTAAAAATAATACTCATAAAATATATATATATATATATATATAATATTTAATGGCTTGGGTTCGACTCATTAAAAAATACTGTTGTTCGTGTTCGGTTCGTTAATATATTGAGCTCAAAAAATTTATTCGTGTTTGACTCATGTGCTTAGTGAGCCGAAGACGAGTTGTTAGCGAACAACAAATTATTTTGACATCCTTAGTCACATAGCCGTAAGAAGTTAAGGGGAAGGGCGAAATTTAAATCTTATCATTTATATTAAAAATTCATTTTAATAAAATTTAGGATATTTTTAATCTAATTTTTTAATTATAATTTTAATTGATTATAAATCTTTGTAGCTTTACAGTCAATTAAACTACTTAAAAAAAATACTCATCAATTATATATATATATATATATATATAAATATATAAAATATTTATTTGTGTTCAGCATATTTATATATCGAGCACAAAAAAATTATTTGTGTTCGGCTTATTTGCTTATCGAACTAATTGAACATGAGCTGTTTAGCGAGCTAAACACGAGTTGTTCGCGAACGAGCCGTGTTAGCAACCCTATTAAAAAGTAATATAATTTGGATAAGAACACTCCAATACGCATTCCTATTAATGATTTGAGTTGTCCTAGCAAATCAGTCCACTTCCAGAGACAAACTGGTGGTCAAAATGATGAAAACAGTAGCAAAATTACTTTCTAGCCGCAAGGGAATACTACCACAACGAAGGAAGGAACTAAATCCAATATAAAACCCTTCAAATGTCATGGGTTCGGCCAGATAGCCTTGAATTGTCCTAATCGACACATTATTTCATTGATGGAGGTTGATATAAAGGAAAATGATGTAGTAGATGAAGAATAAACTAATCCAACAAGGGACAAATTTCTACATGCGTACAAAAGGGAATTAATTGTGATAAGACGTCCCTTAAGTGTCGAATAATTTTCGAATAAAGATTGGTTACGACATAACATCTTTAGAACGCGGAGCACAACTCGAGATAGGATTTGTAATCTTATCATCAACGATGGAAATTGTGAGAATATGGTTGCAACAATCGTGGTAGAGAAGTTTGGGCTAACTACTCAATCTCATGCCCATCCCTACCAACTCATGTGGATCAAGACAGGAGATGAAATCAAAGTCAATGGCAAAGCATAGTTTTGTTTTCAGTCAGTCGAAAACTTTAAGAGTAGGTTTTATGCAAAGTAATGCCTATGAAAGCTTGTCACATATTGCTTAGTCGGACTAGGCAACATGATCGGCGTACAGTTCATGATGGGTGCCAACACTTATTCCTTTATCAAAGAGGGAATTCAAACCATTTTGGTGCCTATGAAGGAGGAGATTCATGCGGGGATTGAAGTCAACACTTTTACTCCTTCATTGCTTTTGAAAGATCTTAAGGAGACAGCTATGAGATGTCTCTTGATCACAATCAAGAGTTTCAAACAGCTACCAACAACTCCTTCCGAAGTGCGGAGATTGATACAATAGTTCGAAGATATATTCAAACGGAGATTCCAACTGAATTACCTCCTATGAGAGGTATAATATGTCATTGACCTTGTGCTTGGTTCAGTCATTCCCAACAATCCTGCATATAGGATGTCTCCAAAGGAGCACAAGAAACTTCAATGCGAAAAGGATGAGCCGATCCACAAAGGATTAGTGCAACATAATGCTAGCCCGTGCGCGGTTTCGGCTCTCGTAGTTCCAAAGAAGGATGGATTTGAAGATTCTATACTGGAATCATCACCGGTGTCTATGTACAACATGTATGACGATGATTTTTTTAGACCTCTAATCATGGAGATGCTCATAAAGGAGACCAATTTTTAGAGTGAAAAAAATTGAATATGAAGTTGACATAAGATTTGGTGAAGAATCTCATCCTAGAAGGGATTTGCCGAGTGAATAAACTAGATGATATGTTAAATTTGCTTCTCTCAACCATTATTACGTCGACAACAAACCAATCACGAAAACTAAGTCACTGCATTCCAGTCGATATGAGATAAGTTGAATATCTTACAACAAGAACTGCACCTATTAGTCACGGTTCTTAGAAAATTGATGTCAAGTGGATTGAGATCTTCAAAAATAAAGCTTGAAGCCACTTGATCCAGTTTCAACAGTGATAATTCTGGAAGATGCTTAGATCACCAAACAAAAATTGCCTAAGGATTAGAGAGAATCCATCATTTTTCAATGTCTCCGAGTTGGCTGCTCAATAGGAATCAAATTCTGAGATTGCTCAATATGAGAGAACCTTGCCTACTTGGGGAAAATAAAGCGGAAGCTAAAGTTTTATTTCAGTTTATATGTCTTGGTTTATTTGTTTTTGTTGTTGTCTCTATGTTTCAGGATGACATACTTATAATTAGGAGAGTTTAGCTTCTAGAAATAATAAAGTTTTTGTGTGGGCTGGGGATAGAGAGTTTCAGTTTAGTTGTAATAACATTTATCATATCCTTCCAGGTTAAAAAGTGTATTCAATATCCTGGAGTGGCGCTCAGGTGATGATCAATCATCTTTCTTTTCAGTTAATGCATTCTTTCCTTCATTGGGATTTTTGGTCCTAACTTTTCTTCTTTTCTAGATATTTTGAACGGCAAATTTTTTGTTTATACCTTTCTACAAAATAAGTTTATTTATTGCATGCCCTCACATTCAGGATATCTAAATTAATATCAACCATCCCGTTCATTAAAATTGCATTTTTCTAAGTTAGGTAAAATGATGTGGAAGTGCCCCTATTCCACCGCTATTTTTTTCCATTCCACGACCCATTATTTCAATGGTATGAATTTGAATGGCATTCAAGATTTCTTACAAGCAAATGAAAACTAATTCACCAAATAAAAGAAAATAAAAATTCTAGGGATATTATAGATTCTTGATTTTGGATAATCTTTTATTAGTCATGTCTACTAATTTAAGCATAAGGAGTTTATAAATAGAGTATCTTAAACATGAAACTTAGTATCATTGATTGGATTAAAAATTTTGCTTTAATTTCAATTTTGTGTGAGCTTTATGTGTAATTCCTTCAAATGAGGTAACAATGCAGCTATTTCTAAGATCAGTTGTCTTTTTGTATCGGTGTGAGAACTAATTTTCTTACTTAAGATAAATTATTTTCTTGATTTAATTTATTCTACATATTATTAGCTAGGAAGTGCTTTTGATTTTGTCCAAATTAGGGCACAACTAGAAATCTATTTAAGGTTATTAAATTGCAATTGCTCATTGACCATGCATGATTAAATTTCATGTTTATTTCTTCAAATTTGTTTAATGATTATATTATTTTTTGTATTCTACTTGCCATATTTATTGTTGGCATTTAAAGAAACTAAAGTTTTGGCTTGTTTAATGGATTATGATTTGCAAATCTTCAAGTATATAAATTGTATAGTCTTAAATTGCATTATAAAATCCTAAAATCCTAGACAAACCTACAACAATAATTCATCTAAAATTTTGCCAAATGATTAATATGATGTACAAATTCAGGGAATTTCAATAAAGTTGACAAGGCATCGAACAAATAGAAATAACGGTCTAGTAAAGGGTCAAGACAGTGAGATAAATGATTTATAACTTTCATGCAATAGAAATGTTCAAGCCAAATAAATACTCTTGGCATCTAGACATCTAGAAAATTTCAATAATTTGTTTTAAAAAATGTACTGTACTTCTAGTGAACAGCATTATAAATCTATTTCTTCATGAAATTGATCAATTATTAAATATTCATAAAAAATGGTCAAATTAGATCACCAAGTTGTGCTTAGATTATAAATCAATATCAATAATCTCGCATTGCATTTAGAGATTAAACTTTAGAAAAACAATTGTGTAGAATATTAACATTTTCGCATTAAAGAATGGCAATCTATTGCATGTAGATATATAGGTGAAATGTGTTGACGGTGATTCAAAAGTCAAGTTGTCAAGTTGGCAACCTACCTATTCTATTATGCTACCAAAATTTTCAGCTAAACAATTTGAAACCTTTATATGCCATCAAAGGCAAAAATGAAAGATGTTAATACAACTATATTAAAGAATGTAATAAAATTAGAGCTTCAAATTATCTTGATATATAGGATAAAATGGGAATAGGACAAATTGCAAAAAAAAAAAAAATGAAAGCAATGCAAATTTAGAGGGATGCATGATAGCAATGCAAATTTAGATTGGATGGCCACAGAGAAATGGACCAAAAATTGTAAAAAAAGACAGAAAGGTAAGCATGTTTAGGATAGATCAATAGGGCTAAAAAAGTTCATTAAACTGAGTTAAGTGGAGAGTTAATTTTTTTTATCTTGAATAAAATTTGTTCTTAGATTTTTTAAGAAGAAGCCTTTAAGGTGCTTAAAAGTTTAGTTCTTTGTCTTCATCAACAAAGAAGAATTCTAGCCCTCATCTTTGCAATAGGTTACTGCATTTAATCTCAACTAGATAAAGTGATGATTTTATACATGTATCTATAATTTTATATTAAATGTAATTCTTCATGCATCTCTTTTAAAAGGTAGTAGATTATTTAATCATTTTACAATTGTGAATGTAAGCTTACTTAAGTCAAAATATAGAAATTTTGGCTTCTCTTTTGTGGTTCTTAATCTTATCTTTTACAGTTTATGGTTCATTGCACTTCTCCTTGGGTTAAAAGCACACCCTTTTTTAACAATTGAACTTCTCTAATATTTGAAAAAAAAAGGCACATTTTCTGTGATATACCCATGAAAACATACAATTACTATATTACCGTGAACTCAAGTAAAATCATTCAAATTTAAATTTAGGTAAAAAAAAAAACAGCAGGAAATAAAAAAAAAATACTAAAAACAAGAACTTTGCATTTATACCTTTTAGATCTGGATTCCTCTCCACTTTTGTCTTATTCAGCCTGTTGACAATCTCATTTACACGTTTCTCAACTCTCACAGTTCGGACCTATAGAAATTGGAAGTATTAACTAGGAACAATATGTATAAATAGCATATAAACAAACAATAACTTCCACAGAAGAAGTGTAATAAACAAATGGAAGCCAAAATAACAACAGCTAGAGGGTGGTTAAGAGTGATGCTCAACCCTGCCGATATTCTAGAAGCAGAAATAAGTTACCAAAATCTGGACAGAGGCTTTGAGACCCAACTGATCAAATTAATCTGTCAAGTAATACCAAAACGAAAAATGAATACAGAGTTGTCAAGCTGTGGTGGTTTGATGAAACAAGAAAACCCAGCAAGGAATGGATCCTAGTGACCAGATTATTGCTGTTTGGACATGTACAAACCTAGGAGGGTTTGGAGACGAATCATCATGACTAGCAAATCTCTTTATTATTTTACAGGTGCCTCCGCATCAATAAAGCTAACAACGAGAGGGCTACTCTAAAGTCAATTCAAGAAAGCTGGGGTGTGCTTGAAGACACATTACTGTCCCAGTGATGTTCGTAGATTACTCGAAGATCAGTTAAGCAAGGAAGTGTTCGCTTGACACACATTATTGCTCCAGTAAATAAGTATAAAAGGAATTAGGATGTGTGAGTAGTTTTGCAGAACAGGAAATGCAATTTTAATTACTCTAAAGAACTAGGAAGCAATGGATTTTAATATTAATACGGTCAACCAAATAAAACGAGAACCACTATCTGCTAAGAAAATCTTCCTCCTAAATATCAACTCCTTACTTAAAAAAAAAAAAAGTAAATAAAAGGGAAATTTACAAACCACACAATTCTTATGTATTTACAAATCTAACACCCAAATATATTTACACTTATAATACACTTATAACACTTTGGTGTCCTTGTCATAAACCTATGCATGTAAAGTGTATTTCATTTTTAAAAATGCATAAATTGAGGTGTTTTTGATGTGATGTTAGAGATTTGAGTGAAATGCAAGTAAATATGAATGTCTAGGTGTAAGAAATGTAAATACATAAGAATTGTGTGGTATGTATGTAAATGCCCCTAAATAAAATAATGCATAAGGACATTCAGTATATAATATAAAAGAAAAATGAGGCATAATGAAGAATTGAAACGAAACATTTTATATTTTCCATTGAATAACCAAACTCCAAAGTAAACGTGGCTTAAGTGCAGCTATTGAAAAATTAACATGGAATGAAAAGAAACACTCACTTTCAAAGGAATAAAATTTGAACCAACCAGAATGTGAACCAAACAGAATGCGCCCAAACTAATAAAGCAAATTCAAGTAGAATAATCCTCAATGATAATTATTCCCAGTGTCAAGAAATAAGGTAGAGTCCTTTTTACAATCGCATTAGTTAAAAAAATTTGATGAGGCTTTAAAGAAAACCAATGGTGGAAACTCTGTAGGATCTGATGATATCGCAATTAAAGTGTGAAAATATTTAGGAGATTTGGGAGTTTCTTGTCATATTAAACTCTTTAATATTATTTTAAAAACTAAAACGATATCTGAGGAGTGGAGCAAGAGTATTTTGGTCCCCATTTTTAAGAATAAAGGGATGCTCAAGAGTGTGCAAATTATAGAGGAATTAAGTTAATGTGTCACAGTCATACTTTAAAATTATGGGAGAGGGTAATTGAACATAGGTTAAGACGTTGACCATAGGTTTACACGCATTACAAAGATTTCTTATAATCAAATTGGATTTATGTCGAGCAGGTCTACTATGGAAGCCATACATTTATTGAGATGTTTGATAGAGAAGTGCAGAGAAAATAAAAAGAATCTACATATGATTTTTATTCATTTAGAAAAAGCTTACGATAAGGCTCCAAGAGATATCCTTTGCAGAGTTCTAGAAAAGAAAGGTGTTGATATGGCTTAGTCATTAAAGATATGCATACTAGAGCTGTTATTGTGTTCAAACTGAAGGAGGATTGACTTGTGTTCGATTAGAAGGAAGATTGACCAAATATTTTCCCATTTCAGTTGGATTACATCAAGGATCGACTTTAAGCCCATATCTTTTTGCTTTAGTTATGGATGCTCTTACTGGACATTTACAAGAGGATGTACCTTGGTGTATGTTTTTCGCTGATGATATCCTTCTTGTGGATAAGACTAGAGAAAGAGCTCAGAAAAAACTTGGATTGCGGAGGTCTACATTGGAGTCTAAAGGCCTACATTTGAGTAGAACTAAAATCGAATACATGGAATGTAATTTTAATAGTAGTAGCTCTAGTGACAGAGTTATAACTAAAGGTAATCAAATTATTAAAAGATGTGAACGCTTTAGATATCTCGGGTCTATTGTTCAAAGTGATGGTGATATAGATGGGGAAGTTATTAGTAGATCTCAAGTTGGTTGGTTGAAGTGGAGGAATGCTTCAGGCCTATTGTGTGATAGAAAAGTATTGCTTGGATTGAAAAGAAAATTTTATAAGATGTTGGTAAGACCTAGAATGCTCTATGGCACAAAATGTTGGCATTTAAAAGAGAAGTATAAAATTAAGTTAAGTGTTGTCGATGAGAATGCTTAGGTGGATGAGTTGTTTTACACTTAGAGACAAAATGCGAAATGAATATATCCGTGACAGGGTTGGTGTAGCCCCTGTGGCGAACAAAATTAGAGAGAGTCATCTTAGATGGTTTGGTCACATTAAACGTCGACCATCTGATGATCCGGTTAGGAGAGTAGATGTTTTATATTCGACTGACTTATGTATGTTAAGAAAGACAGAGGTAGAACTAGAAAGACTTGGGCACATTGTATAAAAATGATCTTAATTTATTAGATTTAAATGAAGATATGACACTCAATAGGTCACAATGGAGAAAAAGGATTCATGTAGCAGACCCCACTTAGTGGGATAAAGGCTTGTTGTTGTTGTTGTCGTCAAGAAATAAGCAGCCATAAAAATGAAATAGAAACAACAAGACAATTGAATACCTGGAATCTTCCCATGAACATTCACATATGTTATTAGCATCATCATCATTCTTAACTTAACTAGATGACATAAGCTTTATGAATGCAGTTCACAAGCAAATAAATAGATGGCTATGTTTTCAAGAAGCTGCAATATCCATGTATAGCAGTGAACGATGCTATAAAAAGGTTATAATACACCAAACTGATGGAAGTGGTGCTCACCATTTTAGAATTGTGAAACCCAACCTGCCCAACATCCATTGAAGGAGTCTTCTTCAAATTATACCATGGAGTATAGACGACATCTACATTATTAGCCTTATTTCCTACAAAACATAAATAAGATTACAAGTGAGTGTAACAATATATATATATATATATGTATATATATATATATATATAA